TAGCTCAACACATGGGTGTGTGCGTTGATTAACTTCATGCACAACGCAACACGGACCAATTTGGACAAAAAAATACCGGGGATAAAAAATGTGTGTGTAGCAGTGACTCGGTGTGGTCAACCGCGTAATAGCATTCGCTTGGTGTCTGATCATTGTGGTTTAGGTTGGAGATTTGGCTAAATATTGCATAAAATGATCAATCTTGCAGTGGCTTCGTTTTCTTGTCTACTGTGATATTTCAGGGGCTAAGTAACGCAGAACATTAGTAACTAGACACTTCTGGCCGAGAGAGGACACATTCAATGGCCGATCGGGAGCTCATTGCTCCATTCTGGAAGCATTCACCTGTCGCATTTCTATGTTTTCACCGAGAAGTGACAGTAACCGTCCATGGTCAGTATGCGGCTCAAAAAATGTGCAATGTAGATATTTGTGTGAACACTGGAGACCAAACTCAACCAATGTGCAGAAACCCGGGTAAAGTCTATCTAGCCACATACAGCATCAATTCCGAATAGCGCAGCAGTATAATTCATGAGATCAGTAGTCAAAAAGTTGTCACAAAGGCATTTTGCTCCTCGATAGGCCACTTTCAATAAACTCATTTATCCAATGAAGCAAACGAATGGAAGATAAATTCACGCAAGAAGCGACTGTAATGCAAGTTAGTAGTTTTGTCTGGTTGCACGGTGCGGGTGTCCTCAATAATGATTTATCCCTGGAGAGAAAATCATGCAGCTTATTCCTGTCCAGTGGAGAACTCAGATAAACGACTGAACCAATGCACATTTTGCCGTATTTGGTCATAACCTTTTATCGGATATACGCTGTTGCACATGACTAAGTGTTTATAGATGCTACTTTTTTGTTCAATCAGTAATCATCTAGTGATGCAAAAAGATGAGCAAGTCTCTTTGGAGAGTAGCATGGTGCTGCACTATTCCCGAACGGTAACCGTCTGTGTTTCATAAAGGCCCCACTTGTAAACAGCCAGTGTGGATAGGTTTTCAGGGGATTGGTTAAGTTCTGCTTGAGAGTGGAATCAAGATTGACAGATTGACAATTCTAAAGCAAAAACAATCGTCTGTGCTGCCTGACCTCCCGCTTGCGTTTATTTCTTTTGTGGGGACTACTACCTACTGATCACTTGCGAGACTTGTTCGCGATTCCAACAAATCAGTTCAAAGCCTGATTTTCTCAGTACCGTTATGCGTTTAAAGTCATCGTTGGTTTATTCTCACACGTCTGTTCAGACGAGAAAACGCAAGTGCTGTGGCTGGTAATCGGCGCTTAGTTATATCCTCCCATTCTCATCATTCTGTACGCGCCGATCGCAACACGTATGTCATTTGTAAGAATATGAGAGAAGATCGAGGGATCACTCACAACAACTCTTCTTGGAGCGGCAAGTGTGAATTTCGTTTTGGTTATTCCACCCGTGGCATCGACTGTTCAGCTATCCAATCTCACCCTATATTTTTTGCGATATGGAAACACCATATTAAAAAATTTGTACCAAATAACTCCCTTTTGTATCCAGTCTGAAGTGGCCTCCTTCTTTGATGCGTTTATACCATCTTTCGTTACCCTAATAGACGACAGTCTCCACATTGTTGTCTTATTGACTTGAACCAGGCATCCACCTATTCCATAACCTCTTTGGTCTTAACTAATATTTATCTATCCTTTGCCAGAAGTGACTTGATTTTAGACAAGTTAATTGTTGATCGCCTGGAACATTTTGCCTCAAACCCCACATCATCTGTATGCACTAGTGATCACGTCTTGATTCTCATAAGACCCACAGTATACTCTTGTCCCATTCACAATACACTTGACAAAAACAACCAAGTCATCATTCACCTTCGCAATCTTCCCCCTCAGGAGCATTCTTCTTCTTAATTGTTCCTTTAATGTCATTTCTTTGTGGTTTTCCTCCTCCCCTTCTTTACATAATGCAGTTAAATTATTCACTTGTTCCACATTTGCTATCCTTTTGAAACTCTGTTTATCATTCTACCTTTGACTTAACTTTTTTTAGCCCAGTTCAGCGAATTGCCTGTCCTGAGAGTTTCTCGGAACGAATAACGCATTCCAAAATTGATGGGAACAGATTCCCTAGACATACATTGAGAGAGATCGAGAAAATTAAAATTGGGAAATCCGTCAGAACTCTGGATGGCTCACAACTTGGTTCTGTGCCGTCAACCGGATGCGCAATCTCTGTCGTGAACAATGTAGACAAAGCATTCCTGACATGCATGTCAACGGAGACTGGTGCAAGTGAAAGAAGCGCGCAGAGATGCAGAGGGATTCATGCGCTACGGATTTAACTGAACAGTTGTCAGTCACAGGTACGATTGCTGTCTGATACGCTGTGTGAGTTTTCCCTGAGCGCATCGCAATCAACACAACCAACTATACGCTCCGGTTGCAATTAAGCAAGCAGGTCAATGATAGACTGGGGAGAGGGCGTGAGTGGAGCGCTGGAAGAAATTCTGGTTGGCCTCAGAGATTGATGTTACGGGATGAAAGCGTCCGTTGACGGAAATGCGGTTCACGGAGTACACAAACAACTTTGTCAACCGCCTGAATGAGCTACTTCATTTGCACGGAGATACGCGATCTCCGAGCACTTCGGGACAAGAAACACTCCTCGGTCCGGATCAGGGAACACAACTAGTAGTAGTCTCGTGGTACTGAATAGGATTCGACTGCGCATGAGAGCTATTCTTTGGGGTGGATGGTGGGTGAGTGATTGTCGAACTCTGTGTGTACAGACGCTTTATTGTATGCACAACAAAAATTAAACACTACCATTTCTCGGTCAGAATTTCTTAATTCTGAATAACAATAATAATGGTGACAATATATTCATTGTTGTATAAAGTTATTCAACACAAATCAGAAAGAATCAAAGCAGACGTTTTGTTTGCAAGAATTCAAGTCTAAAATTCTCTTTTTCGCCCATAATTTTCCTTTAAAATTTCCTATCAGGTCTGCCGAAAATTTTCATCTGCTTTCCGAATAAAACAAAATCGGAAGCATAGTTTCCTCATAACGAATTTGAATAAAGAAGCCAAAAACAGGTTTGCACAACGTGTCCTGGATCATTTGGCTGCATCTGTATACGTGTATACTGCATTCTATGTGATCATTAATATATGGACAGTAACTAATAGAATCATAGACGGAGAAATCATTTCTTCTTTCCGTCAGTAAAATTGAATAAATGATGTAATTACCATTATTATTAATCATTTCTTTTCAACGTGAGGGCAATTGGTATACCCCATTTTTTTGAATGCTTTATTTTTTGATGCGAAAAATCCAACCAGTGCTTGTTTTGTATTACAAATGGGAATTCGTCATGTATATTGTCAATGAAGCCTGAAATGAAAAGCTAGGAAGCACTGGACAGCTGTTTTAACCTGGTTGGGTCTCATCAGCAGTGTGAATTCATCGACCCAACTGGGGATCGAAGAAAAAGGGCATATTGCGAACCTGGAAAACTTAGCGCTTCCATCTCTAAACCAAATTTCAATCGGAGAATGTTGTGCATATGTTGGAACATTCTAAGACCAATGCAATATAAACTTTCAAAACCGAACGAAAAGCTCAATTTGAAGAAATATTTTCAGAAACTGGATAAGTTAAAACCTACAGTCTCCGGAAAGAGGCCGGCCATGTTCAATTCTTCATCAAAATAATGCCAGGACACAAGCTGTCATGGGGACTCGTTAATAAAAAAAATTACAAAACTAGGCTGAGAAATTCAGCATTTCCAGAACTTAGAAATCTTCATCTATCATGAGGTCTTGTTCTGACAAACTTAGTGAAGGACAAAAATAGTCAAAAATGAAGGAGATATAAAACAGGTACTGGTAAAATGTATCGCATCAAAAGATAAAGCATTTTTCAAAAATCGGGCATACAAATTGCTCTCACATTTGGAAAAATGGATTAATAATAATGAGAAATACATTATTTATTAACTTTTATTTACAGTAACAAAAACATTGTACTTGGCTTTTTTGCCAAAAACGGACGAAATGTTCCGATAGACCTGATATTAATTAGTGTGGAAACGTTTGAGCCACATAAATCGGAAGCCCATGATCAGTTTCAAAGCTTATGCTGTTCATCAAATCATCTTGTCATCTAATCTTTTGGAAATTCATCGCTGTACCATCACTTTCGTCTCTCTATGTATCCTAGAACGCAATTTCCAACATGACTTAGTTCTACAAACCACTCCCTCGATTGTCAAGCAATATTTTGCTTTCTATTCTCATTCTGAGATTGCACTCCCGAGCAAGTCCTTTGTGAAGTAAATCGTTTTGATTCAACTGGTATAATGTTTGTGCACTGTTTATGCGCTCCTAATATAGTTGTAAACGTTCGATAAAATTTGAACTGAAAAAATATTTGCCTAGAATGTAATGAACCGACTGATTTGGAAGCTGCGGGTATTTTTGTATGGATTGAAGGCAATAGTGTTTTCCCTTTCTGGATTTGGGTATTGGAAAACTCATTGGTGATTGCTATAACATCATCACAAGCCATCAGGAGATGACCACTCATGGATAGATGGAAATAAACTGGAGAAGCCACTGCGAAGGCTGTTTGCACTAAACAGTTACCAATTATTTTTATTTTCAAAATGATCCAAAGTTATCTTTGCAGTCTATCGGTATTTTCAATAGCGCCCTGAAGAAAGTTTTCATTATTCATTCTTTTATGACGGTAGAGTTCATTTAGGACACGGTTTCTGATAAACAATAGTGTTGAGTACAGCATTCAAGGATAGAATTTTCTCCTGATTTCGATTCTGTTTGGAAAAAAAAAATTGAATCTCTCTCAGCACAGAATAAAAGAAGCGTTTTTGAAAAGCGGCATACAGGGAGGAGGGCGGTTTATTATTTACAAGTGGTATTGGACACGGAAAGGATAACTTCGGCCGCTCCTCCGACGATGAACAGAATGACAAGTGTGTTAATTCAGTGATCTTTCTTCCATGTGCAATGCTCGAGTCGAGAAACAAGATACCGCATGTCCAGAACAGCGAATTGTTTGCCAATATCTGAAAGAAATTGAAAAAGAAGAGAATCAATATTGATAATTTCCCTTCGTTTATTCGTAAAATGTATCATACACTCTCCGACAACGTATCTTAGCAAACTAATAAAATTAACAAAATTATAGTTGACAATCTGTTAAAAGCCCGATTTTTAGCATTGGCAATGAAGTTAAACCAACTGAACCCACCTGGTATTCATTTAGCCGTTTTGGCAAAATACGTCTGCAGCCCCTTGTATCATTGTTTACCGGTCCACCTCCACCACCACCACCACCAACAACAACAACAACAACAGCAACACCACTATCAACGTTACCCTATTTGCATACTTTTGGGTTAAATACGGTTCTCTTCCTAAATATTTGTAGTACATTGATTAAACAAGCATGGGAACAGAAAAATGCCTCGTTTTTTCTTTGCTCATCATTTTTGATATTCAAGTTCCGATTGACAGAACTGGCATTGTTGGACTCCGGGTAGCGTCCACCTACAAGTCACAGCGCACGAATTTTGTCGGCTAAATTGATGCATCTCAACTATGAAATGGAATAAACTGTACGTCGGACTGATACGTCACACGGGTTACCTGAATAGAAGAGAGCAGATAGATTGGTTGCATCATCAAACAGTGCAATGGGCCAAGTTTTTTCAGCGTAAGCATTCAGCCAATCCTCCTTGTGTTTAGATTCGAATTGCGTTCAGGTACTACGGAAACTGTAAACTGAGGAACATACATCAGCAACACCGGAACTCAGAAATCATCTCTTTCAGCAAGTACGTATGATGTAATATGTCAGAATAATGCGTTTTAAGTCCACTTTCAGATCAACCCTGCACATTGAACATTCATCCTTTGTATTGCTTTGTGGGATAAAAGTCCGCTCAACGCCACACATTAAGATGGATTTCTTGTAAAAGGGAACATGTAGACCTATACGCTTACTCGTTAGAAAACAGTGCATTTGTCTGATCCTCAACTCATACTTGTTCACGTCTGATTCAACATTCATCAGTCAGATGGATAAAGTTTGTTCACCATTTGTGTGGTGAGCTCACCTCTTCAAGCCTTCTTTAGTAATGGTACTGGTACCTTTTTCAAGCAACTTAATGTTTTGGAATTTGTGGATAAAGGCGGAAGCAAAGTCGAATGTCTATGAAGTCAAGTGGACAGTCAACCGTGTATTCCAGTGGGTAGGGGCCTGACTACTAGTTCCAAAGTTCGAGATTAGACTACCCGTAGAGATAAATAAGAAATCCAATGTTTTTATCGCAATACCAAGGAAACTTCCTTAAACAAACACTGCAGATGTGCATTTTAGTCCCTGTACCTGCCACCCATCCTATGCCAGTAATGATAAACGTAACACACTCGACTTCTGGAAGGAATCAGCCATTAGCCAGTAAGTTATATTCTTATGCACATGTTTCTTATTTCACAAAAATAGAGTCGCTTTTATTCATGAACATTTTTGTAAATGATATTGCTAGAAGCTTGATCAAACCACTCGGTTCAATTATTCCAGTCAAACTTAAGGGGCTGCATGAGATCAATGCATATCTGGTCGTGGTTGAGCCATTGAACATCACCGGGTTATTGTTTGCGGCTGATATGAGCAATGCATTGGTTAAGATCAACCTTCTTTCCGAAATATATTTCGTCCCTATCAGAAATAGTTAACTGGGAACAGAAAATGCTACTAAGCACTGGGCAGCTGTTTTGATCTGCTGGGGGTCTCATCGTCAGTGCGAATGCACCGATCCAACTGAGGATCGAACCCAGGATCTCGTGGGTAGAAAACAAGCATATTATTCACATGACCACGGGATAGTTGATTAGACTATACACGTTATAGCACACTCATACACTATATATAAGCATGTTTTGGACATCTCAACCCGTTCGTTGATTGCAGCACAAACGACAAGGGTTAGGACTTGATCAGAATAAATCCGAGCCCGACTGCGATTTCACCTCTGAAACGGCGAAAATATTCTCTTGGTGTAATTGATTTTTGCAACAATAAATCTTCTCTTCTCATTAGATCGTCCGATTTGTTTATTTTTTATAAATAAAGATGGTTTCAGGGAAATGGATTCTTAATCGATTTTAGCTCTCCAAACCTAAACCTACTCTGAGTGGCTTTCATCTAATCGAATAACTTTTGCTGTTGTAAAATGTGAATGAGCTTATTTAGATGGATTTATTACCAAATATCCTCATAGTACTAGATTTCAGGCTAAGCACAATATGTTTCAAAGTTTTGCATAAATCAATAATCTCAAAATAATGTTAAATATATTATGGTAAGCTCGTTTAAATTTTCTGTTGTTTATCTTTTCGGAAAATTCGAATTTCGTTGGTCACCTTTTCATTTTGATTTAATCACAGTCCAATAACAATAATCAAAATGATGATTGGTTTGTTTTTCAGTTCACGATTAAAGCGAGGCCCAATAAAAAATGCTAGTCCGGACCTGTAAAGTTGAGATTAAGGGGATTTGATTCGAGCACAATCCACGATAATTGGGGTATTTTTATATTGTTTGATTGTTGCACAGAAAAGAATTTAAACTCATGTGTAGAGAAGAGCATTGTATCGATCAAATTCTACTCTAGTTCCACTATCTTATTTCTTTAACGTACTCATTTGATGCATGTTATTCAAGGGAGACACATGACCAAGTTAGTGAAACCCGCAACAGTCGAGCGTGGAATAAACCCATGCAACACACCTATTCGCAAAGCGCGGATTTTCAATCGCGAAGCAATGTGTTGCTATCGGCATCAAGAATGACTGACCTAGTGAACTCACCTCAAGATTGCTCCAACGTATCGAGTATTGACCAAAATTTCTGCTTATGTTTGGGATACAAAGATTTCCGGGCCACTTCTCCCGATTGATATACAAGACTTTCTTCTCTGGTCCGTTTCAACCCGGTTTCCTGGATCCAATTGTTCCGAGAGTAATCTGTATTGTGCTGATGGTCAGGAGAAGCTTTTCGAACATTCGACTTTGATTGGCTCTGTACTACCTCTTCGTATTTGATTTGATGTGTGCTACACCCGCCTAGATTAGAACACTCTCGACTAAATGTTTTCTCGTCTGTAATCCCACTGTCTGTATTCTGATTGCCTTTACATTGGTCCCGTGATGCACAATCGGACCGGTTCCACGCGATACCGGTTGGAGAGTTTCTGTTCCATAATTGCTCACGTGATCCTCTTTCCGGATTGGTCACCAAGTGGGAAAACAGTTGAGTGTTGAAAAGTTGTACCATTCTATCCGCAGTCCCTTGGTCTGACAAGTCCCCTTCTGAATTGATCGCCAAACGATCGTTGTTGTGGTTTGAGTCAACTTCGACGACGACCGCGGACGACTTCTCTCTACGTGACTCCCGCGTCCCGCTGAGATGTTGTCGAATTCGTGGACACCATGTCATTTGATTCTCCTTTTTTAGACGCCGTCGCGCATTAGCAAACCAAGTAGAGATCTGAGTCAAATTCATTCGGGTGACCAAAGCGAGCATAATTTTCTCTCCTTTCGTCGGATACGGATTCAGTTGATGTTGCTGTAGCCACGCACGCAGATAACTTGTGCTTTCTCGGGTGGCAAACTTTTTGGGCAAAGCCGAATCACGATCGATGCCGACACTAAAACGAGACGGGAAGTCATGAACAAGGTTAAATACGGTCACCAGCAGTAATCAAACCGATCAAGTACACGAATGTTTGCACTAACCAGGAGGACTTCACAAAGGTGCTTTGAAAGTTTCAGTATACTCTGATATTCATATTCATTTATTGCCGAGAACATTACCTCACTTAGGTTACTGTTTTAATATGAGCAATGGTGTTAGATAAGTCCTATTAATTTCATGTGATCGGTTCTCGAACGTCGATGGCGGACATAATTTTAAGTTCGACTAGCTAACTGTACAGTTGGGCTGTACTAAGCTCAAGTGTTTCTTGCATTTTTCAGGGTAGTTCATTAATACTGCACATTTAACAGTTCAGACAAACCAAACGCATAAATCTCTACTGAAAAGGTCCGAATTCAAATTTCTGATGTACTACTGACCAAATCGATCAACAGCGAAAGCTGAGTCTAGGGCTTCCCGAATTAATAAGGGACTGTGAAGGAATGAACACTGAGAGTTTTATTCAGGAAAAATTGATATGAATTCAGATGAACAGCTCAAAACATAGTTTTTGTTATCGTCTGTGAACTAGCTTAACTGAGCAAATCTATTTGTAGATTGGCATTGTACCTGTTTACCACCTTTACCCACCCTATCACCCCATGCCCAAATTTGTTTCGTTACCTATCTATCACTCACCATCGTGTGAATTAAACATTTTGTGTCCAGACCTGCTTGTCCCGACCACCAAGTTTGAAGTCCTCTGTTGTTTACCTACCAAACTCGTGTGATCTCATCGCCTCTTATCACCACTCTCCCGAACCCCGATACAGTGTTATTCACTCTGTTCATTGAGTATTATCTGACTGACGATTCTGGTTTGCCTGAACCCATTCAGATTAAATAAACGTAAATGTCCTTTTACTTTCTTTTCTCATTTATCAAATACACAAATGTACAGTTGACTTTAAGGTAGGGGGCCACGGCCATACAAAGACTGTCTAGGAAAATACAGAAATGGGGAAGGCAGGCTGCAGTGGAGCGGTTCGAACCCATGACCACCGGGTCACAAATTGGTGACCTGATCACTTGACCACCATCGTCCTCTAGTCCCCTGGCTCATCCGTGCCTTACACTAATCACCCAGTTGACACTTGTACGCTATCAGACACAACCTCAATTTTTGTGCGCTCGCTTGTCATGGTTCCGTGTTTACACGATTGGCCCTCGACTATTATGTTTGGTTTTACTGGTTCAGGTAATTCTATGCTAGAGGGAAACGTCACAATTTGTGGTGTGTAGTCAGCGCGATTGTAACCGTTTATATTTGCAGGAGTGCTTTGTTATTCGCTCTTGTTCCGGGGCGAACAAACTTCGAGAATATTTGAACATGGCTTCTGAGGTTGCGCGTCACTCACGGTCGACCTAACTATGCATACGGATTTAACAGGCGATATGTAAAGCAAAGCTAGCTAGTATCGGTCAAGTGACAAGTGCTTTCAATATTTTGGAGATGTGTAACCCGCGAAAGTTCAAAATAAAGATCTCCATACTAAAACGCGTTCATGTTTTAAGTCATGATTACTTACATGGAATTTCTGGAATCCTTGCAATGAAGCTTATTTTCCACCCTCCGTGTGCTCTGTAAAGGAAAACAATGTTTGTGAATGTACAAATTTAAGATGGTTGTTTTGATAACTTTGACTATTTTTCCTCAATTTTTAAAAACCAGCCTCGCAAACCGGTTAATGAGAATATAAGGTAGCACATATAATTACAATGTGTATGATCGGTCACAGATAGGCGTTTGTGATCCAACAGGAAAGTAGTTTGAATGCTTAGATCAGCATTATTCCTCCATGAGTTGAAAACTGGCTTTTCTCCGTTCCGGTAACTATGGCCTGTTTATGAGTCAACAGGCGACCGCCAGAGGGTAAACGGTTGAACAAATTAAGTTTGAGTACGCAAAAGAGGATTTTGTAGATGGATGTTGAGCCGCTCCCCAATAGTTAGAACACGAAGGTGCATGTACCCTTACGGGGTGTTTTAGCCAAAAACGAATGTCGGAAAGCGGCAGCCACGTTACCAGTGTGATTTTTGCTAATAAATTGTAGAACTACAGCATTGGTGCTCCACTTGACTGCTGCGCTCTTCTCAACCACGCCGGATTGCGCTCATGGATGCCCTCGGACAGACACTAATTTGCGGCAGCAGTAGGGGTTTGATGAGATACAAAATGAGGGGACAAAATTGAACTATCCATCATTCAACCCAAAGTACACTACTAATATGCTCCATGTGAATCACATTTCGAGCCATTGTGAGATTTAGAGAGCCTAATCTTCATTTTCAATCCTTTTGGGTAACACCTGGTGTCTCAAAGTCACAATATCCATTTTGAATAGTTATTCAGCACGTTTCGGGCTTGATTAACGTTCATGCCCTTGGCGCCACCATTTTCGATTTACAAATAGATGTTGCTGAAAAAAAGGCTTTCATTTGAGACTAAGTTGAAATCCCAGCCAATGTGTTAAATGTTTATATAGTTCTCCACGCTCTTCATTCCTGACAGATTTCATAGCAATGAACAATAAAATTTTATTTTTCGCCTGATCCTAATGTACCAATAGGAAATAATCTGCGATGACGAACTGACATTAGGAACTGTTGTGGTCAATTGCGCAGCGTGTTATTTCAGATTCCAAAGCCTTTACACTTTTGCGCTTCCCAGTCAGTACCTTACGAAGCAAGTTTGTCTTTTCCATCTTACTACCTAATTGTTCTCTATTAATTTTCACCGGCTTACTTAAACAAATTTTCAAAGTCTTATTATTGGCCGCGATTTCTCATTTTTCGTAAGGACAGTTGTGAAAATTTCAGCTTACCATAAAACTTCTTGTGTCAGATTTACGGGCAGTATTCTCGCCGACTTAATCAACCATTTAACACACAGAACCGGCAGATTGTTGTTTCCATTCTTCCAGTTTTCCTGGTAAATGCCATTCCATATAGACGTGTCTACCGGAATGCATCCATACCCTATCTAGCACGTTTACCCACAAATGATGTTCATATTACAACCACAGAGTGCGAGATACCTCCGGACTGTCTGTGAACACATTTTTGTCCCGCTGTTTGTTATGTGTAACATTTCAGGGTTTACAAAAGCTAAATAATATACAAATAACGCAACGACTTCAAAGTTAAACAGCTAAACCAGTTTACGGTTCCCGGATAAAACCTCTTTACGTAGATGGTCACGTGTACATGCTGGTACGAAACGCGTAAAATGAGCTTGCGTTTCCATTTTACTTTCTTGTTCATTTATATCTGTTCTATGCGAAGATGGCCTCACAGGGACATTTACTCACTTACTCAATAGCATTTTTTAGATTTTATAACTGATTGACACAAGAGCATATGAATACGGAATGACCCCTGAAACCAAGTTCGAATGCTATCAGCTTCTGATAAGAAAACAGAGGTCCCCGGAAGGTGGTAACTCAAACAATGCAGTTTGCGTGTTTCTGGTTGGTTGCCGCTATGAATCCGGGAAATCCCCTGCATGCAATAATGCTTCGAACATTCAGTTTGTTTATGAAAGGCGACTTTGCGGCACAAATGCAATCTGAACATTATCTGAGAACGAACCACTCCGTCCTTGTGCGTATACAATCTATGGTCGACAGTGAAAAGAAGAGAGCTCAAAGAATCCGTCAGGTCACGCACGCATTCACGTCACACCACCAGCACACTCGCGATTTGCCAGGCAAGTAGAGTTAAGATTGGATGGCTGAAGAAGGGGGCAGTCAGCGGTTGTCCGATTCACCAATCGAAATATCAAGGACGTGTGATTTATCCTTTATGCTTGCAAATCGAACTTTAATCATTGAATGCACTCTGACTGTTGTCTATGGAGTCATGTTCTCTATTCGCGATGTTGTTGGGGTTTAAGCAGGAGTCGTGCGTGTCAGTCGTACACCTAGGCTAAGCACAACACACGGATGAACACCTTCTACGTGGTCTTCTTAAAATTATGAAAAGCAATCCATGAATAATTACTAGCATCCATTATCATTGAGTCAATTGACGAGGCAGATATTGTGAATAGTTAAACTGCCGTAACATCAATAGTGAATGTGTGTACCAGAAGTCCTATCTGACTTCGTCACCATCGATTAAGATAATTAAAGGCAATTTGGTCGATCACGAATCATTCATTCAGTCACCCTATTCAACAGACATAACATGGCCGCATATCTTCGACTGATTCGTCTCTGACACGTATCATAAGATAGGTAAGCCTCGGTAGCCAAAATTTGACGACTTATAAGCTCCATCGGAAAATTAGTGTGCTTCACATTACAATATTCACTAATACTTGATTCGCCTAGTTCATGTGAGTCTATTTAACATTATTGCCATGTAGAAGTTAGTTTGATCAGCATATCGATCTTCTGAATAGAATGTAAACAGGAAAGAAATATGCTAATTTGATGATCAAACGCTACGAGATAGGAGCGTACAAGAAGTGAGGCAATGTTGTCTACTTCGAACGGTCTTCATCCATAAAGATAGGCGTTTATCAGCGGTAACGAAACAGCTACGCTGGAGGAAAGAACAGGACTATAAACACAAACAGAGAACACATGTCAAGCGTGGTATGTGGAAATCTACCAAATGCCTGTGTGGCGGTATCAATAAAAATAAAAATGAAACTGTTAATGATAAAAGATTAATTTCCGAGTTTATTCCAGTCTCACAGTGCACAACCCGGCCAGACTTGGTCAGCTCTACGCCACCACCAACTATCGAATTCCCCACGGTGCTCCGATAGCTACGGAAAAAGATGATGGTCAGGTGCACTATCATCCGTGATACTCAAGGCGTGTGCGGACACTCCTTCAGTCCCACTATCTAGCATATTCAATTATTGTCTGATGAGCGGAAACTGGAGACTGGCTAAGGTAACTCCCGTCCCCCAAAAGGAACCTGGAAAGTACCATCTCATCGCCTACACACGCATTGGGCAAGCTTGATCGATCGGTTTTGTTTAACCTGATTACCGTAATGGGTGATAATACAAACGATGGCAGATTGATTAATGAGTACTTCAAAATAGAAGACAGTTCACGTACATTAACGGCAAGAAATTTTCTACCCGCACAGTTGCTTCTGGTGTTCTGCAAGGTGTAATACTTTCCCCATTTTTCTTTTCAATGTATATTATTTAATTTCCTATTCCTCAAGCATTCACTGACTGTAAATAGGCAAATGATGTTTTGTTTTAAGATGGATCGCACTCATTCCGGAATGGGCCTCAGAAAATCCCTCCAAATGTCAGCAAGTTGCGTCTTCCCTGTGGGACGGCCAACGATATTTAGCCCATTCAAATAGGTAGCCCACCTTTTGTATCAATCGTGAACCCATGCAGATATCAATAATGGTACAATATCTTGGCGTCACACTATCACACAATTTATCCTGGTCACTGCACGTTCAGAAAACATTCTACAAATTTAGAAAGCATTCATGTTTCTCACTCCGATTGAGAATGGTTTCCATTCCCCACAAATTGATTATTAGATTTGTGAAGGCATGCGCGCTTCCCTACTGGTTGCAATGCTCCCGGATCATTTTCCTCGGTATGTTGAAAAAAAATATATTTACTGGGGAGACCTCCAAAACATATCTCATAAGTTATTGGCATCGTCAGAGATAAACTGGCAAATTCTATCATGGACAGACATCTACAAATATGTGTAAACTATAATGCGAAAATACTCTCGTACACTTATCATCCATTACGCAATAAACTTTCAAAAGCTGTGTTTACGTTACCCACACGCTCAAGGTTCAAACTTCCATTTGCATGTAACTCCTCATAACTGGGTTTTACTAAATCTAGCACATCTAATTGTTAAGAGAAAGAAAGTTTCCACCGATGTATTTAATTGCTTGCTTCATTGACAAAGACTAGATCTACTACTTTTAGTTTCTTTTTCTATGATTTTGTAAATTTGCATCCACAAATAGGATGTAAAATGCTCGAGGTTCACCCATCTAGATAAATATAGCTACTACTGACTTGGCTGGACGTAGATTCTCTACCGTTTTGGATCAATGAAATTTGAGGAGATCTATTCAGAAATACTTTGACTGGAAGGACTCTGAGTGTGGTTGATTAATTCGTCGTGAATTAAGGACTTTTTTCAATATCTAGTAACCCGTAGTGAACGGACAGGATATTTGTGTTATGAACTGACAACAGCTTCTCCGACTGAGAATGACAGACCAGTTTATTAAAAGCGGAAATTCGCGGCTTCAAGGTATTGTATTGCAAACAGTGCTCATCCAAAAATTTGACACGTTCAGAAGAAAATCCCAAATCTACTTCCGTTTACTATTTTGTTCTGATTTACTCATCTACACCATGTCCATCCGATAGATGCTCTTTTTTCTCGCCTAGATAACAATATTATAATCCCTCAAAACTTGTTAACTTATTTTTGCAGCTTTACAGGTCACTGACCGATTACAACAACAGTACGTGATCATTGATTTACCAGAGTTCTGGAACTGCGTGTCTCACAGAATACATCACTTTCTCCAGTTGCTTTCAAATTCACAGCACACGTCAGCTGATCCCGCTTATCTTCCAACGAATTTGGNTTTGGCAGGTCATTCGATCCGAGCATATCTTGGATCGCATACGGAATTCGACTCTGTCCTGAATATAAACTGGACGGAGCCGACAGACGGGGTTTCTTCGATCCGGATACAAGTTGCTCGTGTGCAGCGCCGCATTCCTCCTCGTCTTGGATGGACAGTTGGGCACTGGGTGACCCGTACGGATTCCCGGGTAAACAGGGCGGACAAAGAAAGGCCGGATGGGGTAATGGAAGCAATGGATTTGACCATGTGTACTGAGCACAAGAAAGCGAACTGGACGGAAGCAAATCTGTTTGAGTTTGGGCGGACATTGGTTCGCTCGAGGAGGGGACGGCGTGGCAGACTGAGTTGAATGGGAGATAAAACGGGAAACAGATTATCAACTATTTCGAAAAAAATCTATAAAGTATAAATTCCTTGTTTGCAAGTGCTTAGGGACACCGTGGCTCACCATTGCACCAAAAGGACGCCATCTAAAATTTGATATATCTAACAACAACCTTCCTGGTTATTTTGGTATAAAAACTGACTATAATCTGATCCCCTTATCACATAACTATATCAAGCAAGTTATCAAATGTATTTTCCAGTCTAAATATAAACGTTACATTTACTAGACTAAAAAAGGCAAGGGACAACTAAACAATGTCATTTTTTTCAGCAATAATATGATGTTACTCCTGTTTAATAGAAGAAACAAGGTGAGTCCAGATGGGGTTCCAACACATGTATAAATACCACTCCTCTGGCATGCTTTTCCTGTACGAAGTTCACTATATGAGCGGGGGTTGTGCATATGTGGGTGCCAAATCCACCAAACTGATCACAAAGAACAAAACCGAACTCCGTTCGGTTTGGTGGACGGAAACAACGGGAGCAGATTGTCACGGGTGGTACAATTTGAACACCAAAGATCTAGTTTGTTTATAATACTTCAATGAAGAACGCTGATAGTCGAAAATGCTTTTTTTCTGGGAACAAATGCTTTCAAAAAAGTTAATTTTATCCGTATAATCAAGGGGGGAATTCTCTTTATAAGTGTGAGTAGAGTAACTGAAAACAAAACGGAGTAAACCATCTTCCTTGCTTCATCTTCATCTGGATTTCAAACCTGATCGATCGCGTTTGCGTGGCGTACATCATTATTAACTGAGGATTTTAGCCAAGGAACAATCATAATTCATAATGGCTTTTAGTGTTTTCAAATACCACATAGACTGTGGACTATGTGAATAGCTGAATATCTGAAAATAGGTTTATCTCCCCCCTTGCAACCGTAAGTTGGATTCAAAGAGGTCCTGATCGAATCAGTGTCCTGAAAACTGACACTAGTATAAGCTATGGTAATTGCTCACGACGAACTAAAACAGTTAGATAATGTCCGTGGTGATTAAATAAACAGAGTCCCTGGCTTGCATTCTACCTGTCTGGAGTTTGATCCTTATTTGGGTTGATCATAGTGACACAACTTATAGGACTTAATGAGGTCGAAAGAGTTGTCCCGTGCTTTTCAATATTCTAGTTCATATTCTTTTTTTCTATGTACAAAAGGAAATTCCTCATGTAATGTCCTATAGTATTTGGTTCGCTATTTTTTGTCTCTCTAGACTGATGTCATGTTTGTTCCAACTGAAAGTGGTCATGACAGCCTTGATTGAATTGAACCGAGAAACAGGTAAATGAGACGCGACTAGTAAACTGCAGAAACATAAGCAGTGCTATGCGGCTTTCCGAGTGAGAGAGAAAGGGCAAAAACCGAGAAGGGATTCCCGTTCATTCATCATCATCATCGTCGTCTTCGAAATACAATGTGTAAAACTTCACCATTCACTGCGAAACTCAAAATGCGTGCAAGGTAGATGAGAACGTGTAATATTGATAGAAATAAGCCCTATTCTGAGGATAGGTGAAACAAATTAAACTGGTATGGTCAAAAACACCAATTAAAATGTTCCACTATGTATTCGTACCTTTTCAAAAATTCTGATCTGCCATGTCCTTCAGCCCCTCAAACTAACCAGTTACAATATTTTGTGGACTCCAACCTGGAATGCGCGAGTCCCCTTATCTCTATGCTCGTATCTTCCTGGTTTCTCTTCACGTCATCCGTTGAACTTCACACATATACACAAAACGTGTCGTAAACAGCGAAGCCTATTGAGATGAACTCGATGCGATATCGAATACTGCCTCAAAAAATTCGTAAACACGACTTACTTCTAACCNNAGTATCGACTGCTGAAAACTTATAGGAAATGGATGTCATTCGAGATCTCACAGCTGAATGGTGGCACAACTTTCAACTCATGTGCTGGCAATTGTCCGGTCGTATATTCTGACGGGGTGCTTTGTTTGATCAGGCAACATGATGCACGTAGTAAACATTAAGTTGCATTGTGACAAACTCAGAATAAAGTCTGAGCTTTTTCTAAGAGGTTCAATGTTAGATCTAGCATAAATGACGTCAGCTTTTATCGGTTGGCCTTGGTTAGAAATTTGCAGAATTTTTAACGAAAAGCGTAGTCTTCGAAGCTCATTCATTTGAAGTAACTAGTCTCCAAAATCGGGAATAGGCTTCCTCTAACAGACTGTCAACGTTCGCATCAACATAACACAGAGTTGACTGGAACAAGTTGGATCACCNCCCGTGCACCGCTCCCTTACTCCCTAGCTCATAAGCTCACACATTAATTCTCTTTGTGATAGGCGTAGCGCCTGTAGGGATGCAAAACATTCCGCATTGATTGTCTTGTTTACATTCGACAACTAAGTGTTTAGAAGCTATTCTCCCGGAGCGTTATTTTCCTCCCGGACCATTTGTCGCATTCCTTATTCCCTTTCGTTCGAGGCTGGGAAATTGGGACAGTTGTTTGTTTCACAGTCTATTGGGGACCGAAAAAACGGATATTCTTCTCTTTTTGGAAACACGGGAATCCCTGTTGCTCGCTTAACGCGAAAGTCTGTTTTGCAACTCAGTGGTCACTTTTGACTGTAAGTAAGTAAACCAACAGCTT